AAAATACCCCAGGGACATCTTTTGGGTCTCCCAAAAAAAAAAAAAAAAAAAAAAAAAAACCAAACTCTTAAAATCTTTACCCATAGAATACATAAGAGTAATTCCTGCACATTGTAATAAATGCCAGGGCATTTTATGTGAGCCCAGTTAGCATATCACTTTTCACTAAGTTTGCACTGTCAGAAGTAAACAAAAGTAAAGTCAATGAAACTTAGAACCAACCTCACACTGAACTGATATTCCCACTGGGCCCGAGACAATCAGTTCTTAAGCCCACACTTCCTAATTACCCTCAGACTCCCACACGCCATTGAATTTTAGCCATGAGGCTGTGTTCTCTCCACATCTATCTTGGGCTGAGTCACTGAAGGGGACCTCTGGTATACAATACACAATTTCCCGGTACTCCTCTGGAATTTGGAGTGCAAGTAGGAATGATCACTGATTTCTAGAAGGTAGACCATCTAGAAGTTACTCGGTGTTTGTTGAGTGAATCTTCATGGTTTAACTTTATTAAGCTTAAATTTTATTCTTTATATTACAAAAACAATAAGATGTTTTACTCGTTATGTTTCTGAAATGAAAAGGGCTTTTTTTTTTTTTCAGACTAAATCAGCAGTTTTCGTTTGCATTCTCAAGTTGCCGTTTGATATTAAGACTGTGTCACCACTGCTTATAAAAAGTCTTTAGTGGCTTTCAGTCCTATTACCAAGTCAGTCATTCAAAACAGAATAGGCCTAGAAGGGAATATAATAATTATCTTACCTGATTAGCCATTGTTGTTTACAGTTTATATGTATTGATTGGTTTATAGAATTTTTAAAACTGCATTTCCCATAAACCAGAAAAAATGCTGTCATATGTGTGTGTCCTTTGTTCCCCTCTCCTCTGTATCTTTTCTTGTCCCTTTTATATATGTTACAAGACCTTATGCTATCACACAGTATTCGATTTGTGGTACTTGCTCTTAGTAGGAAGCCTACATTTCTGGCATCAAACTTACACTTGCCAGGTCAGTGTCCTTTGGTTAATCATTTCTTATGCAGAGCTCACATCACCTCACCTCCAAAGACCCTTGAATGACTTAAAAAGAGTAAATTCTTCAAACTATAACCTGTAAAGCATTTAAGAACACCATCTACCCAATAAAGCCTTCATTATAACATTATAGCTCTTTAAAGCAGTCATGTCATTGGGCATAGAAGTTTTAATGAAAAAAAACTGTTTCACATGTGTGAGTTTTAATGGACTAATTTGAAAAATGTAGGGGTTACAAAAGAATGTGTTTGAATCATATCATGAGCTTTCTTGTTTTTAGACTAGAAGAAATGGAAGAAAAATATCTCATGAGAGAATCAAAACCAGAAGATATACAGATGATTACAGAATTAAAAGCCATGCTTGCAGAAAGAGACCAGGTTATAAAGAAACTAATTGTAAGATTCTTTGTTTTTAGTGTAACCACATTAGTTACACAGGTTACAACAAAGTAAGATTACTGACTGTTGACTGAGAAAACATGAGAAAGTATTATTAAGTAATTCTAAATGAAAATGAAAAATAAGAATATGTGCATATGATTTAAAGTTTATTAAAATATTTATTAATAAAATTAAATATATATAATTTTTTAAATTTAAATTGTGTCTAGGTGAGATAATTGTGCCTCTTTCTGAAGTATTTTTTTAAAGAAATAGTCTTGGGACCAGCAGTTAGCATAATGACTATGTCGCTGGACTCCCATATAGTCACCCACGGTTCGAGTCCTGGACGCAGTGGCTTAAACTCATGCCAGGTGCGTGTGAATGCATGTCCAAGATCCCAAGAGGAGAATGGAGAAGGGATTGCAGTGTGGCTATCCCCCCAGGGGGTGATTTCTCACTTTCTATCTATCTCTCTCTGTCTTTCCAGCGAGGACATGCACCCTATAGCAAAAAAAAAAAAAAAAAAAAAAAAAAAGTCTTTATGATATATACTAATTGTTTAGTATTTATACTATTGCTGATATACAATTAATATACTGTTGAAGTATGTGTATGTGTATTATACAGGTGGACTTACAACTAAGAACAGTCAGCACTTCTGTATATTTGCCTGCATTGTACACTTTAAAGTTTAGTATGTTAATTTCCTAAATGTATTCTACCAAACACTGATCCAAAGAGGAGATACACTATAGGTAGGCTCCATAGTCTAGCCTAAGAAAGGCTTCTTGCTTTCAGAGTCAGTAACACTTAAAGTGTTGAGGGCACTGGCAACTCTGTATCAGGGAAAAAAACACAGATTTAACCATAAATACATTGCCTTTATTAAAGCCATTCTTCAAGAATAAAAAATTACACGTTTTTAAAAACTCATAAAATAGCTGAATCTTCTAAAATTATATGTCTGGATCAATAACTAAAATATTTGCTTTTTTACTGCCACTAACAACTGAGAATCTTTTACAATAAAACTACAAACAGAACACTAATCATTCTACATTCTCATTGATTTCTTTACTTGAAAACTTAGGACATTTACATGCAAAGAGAATGTAAGAGCAGCATTAATTTCTGAAGCCTGTTTTCATCATTGCATCTCGTTTAGCACTTAGGAAAGCCGGCCTATTCTCTGGTATGAAAAATT